TTCCAGGACGGCTGCGTGGGGCACCGCCGCATCGGCCTCTCAGACCCTTCCCTTGTGGGAGCGCAGGGCCGGCAGCCGGGGAGCGCCGTAGCCACCCTGGCTGAGCTGCTCCTCCGCAAACTTCTCATCTCCTGCCTGGCCTGTTTTTCCCTGACGAAACTCCCTCCTATGCCAGCGAGCCCAGCCCTTGTCTCCCTTGAGCTACATGATGAGATTCCCAGCGGATGGCTCCATGGCTACATTAAATTACATGTTAGTAGGTCCTTCCCCTCTTCCTACAAAGGTTTCATTATCTTGCACAAGAGCATGTGAAAAGAGGGTTAATGTYGCTCTCTATTAGAGAGGAAAAATAGATGAACTGTTCAGCAGTGATTGCTCTCAGGCATGAGCAAGGCTTGGGCCAGAAGGGAGGAAAATAAATTACAAGCCAGAGGTGCTGGTTCAGATTACAGTCGTAGCCAAGCTCTGGCTTGGTGAAGAATGAGGGTTTGGCATTTTATGGCAAGGCCGTCTGCTGCTCCCGCCTTTGCCGGTTCCCCCGCTCGCATCCTCTCCGTTCCCTCTGACCATCGCTCTGTCTCCAGTGCTTCAGGGGCTGGGCTGTGACCCAGATCCGGGAACACAGCCAGTTTAAAAGTAAAATAAATAGAGAAAGAAAAGGGTGGGAGAAAGGCGGGGGGCTGTACTCACATAAAAGCCAGTATTGCCACTGAAACCCCATCTTATCAAAATACAGCGGTGCCGGGAAGAGGAGCCACCATCTCCCCGAGGGATAACTACAAGGAGAGGCAGCCTGTCCGCAGCCCTGGTTCGTGCCTGGCCTCCCAGTGCAGGCTCGTGCATTGCTCTGGGAAGAGACTACAATATTGCTCATCTCCCTTGGGGCTCTCCTACCCTCAGATGGAACAAACGGGAAGTGCTGTCTCAGGAATTTGTCCAGGGCTATCCATTAAGGACCTGGAGTGTGGAGGTTTGAACGCGAAGCTCTGCCTCTGCYCACCAGCCTTGCTCCTCCCAATCTGCTCTGATTTTATTGGCTTCATGAGAGAGAAGAAATGAGCAGAGAAAATGATGCCAAAAACTACTGCCAGCTGATAGGATGTGAGTTCTTCCATGTGCTCCATTTCCATGGCATCCAAGGCCTAAAAAAGTCCTCAGGGAATGGAAAGGAAGGGAGACTGTCCCTCTGTTCCAGTTTTCCAGGTCTCCAAAACCACRCCAACTATCAGTAGTGACAGTTCACTACTAGCACAGACTAAGAGAGATAAAATCCACTCCCAGCAGTGAACACATGTCCATCAGAGCAGACAGAGGCAAGGAAACTGCCTGGCCATTTCCCAGTGCCAGGAAGCGCAGAGCTCCCGGGCTGTAGCTGCTTCCTAGGGCTCGGTTGGGCCTGGCGCCTTCCCTCGCGTTGCCGCCTGTGGCTGGGCAGCCGCGGGGCCCATCTGCTCATCTGGCCGAGACGGTGGAAAACTAAGTGCCATAAAGCGACTGGTTTGCAGCCGGCGYGGCCGCTGCAGCGCCAGGGCAGCGGGGAGAGGCGGCGGGGCACCACAGCCGACACGCGTCCTCCCCGGCAAGCTGCTCCTCAGGGTTATCCCGCCGGCTGAGCAGGAAGAGGGAYGCGAGCGGCACCGGCTCTGCTTCCCAGGGCCCTGCTGCTCCGCACCCTGGTGTGGAAGCTGCTCCGGCTGCTGATTTTCCAGGCACACAGCCCAAGCCACGGTAGCTACCTGCATCCATTTCCATGCCCTCTCTTCTGCAAAATCCCCGTGTTAGAGGAGTTGGTTAGATTCAGGAAGTGCTCCAATTCCTGGCCCTACCTTCCTTAGCAAATCCTTCTGGACAGCAGGGCTGTGCTCCGTCGTGGCTCCGGCGGCTGCTTGCAGGGCTGGGCAGCTGCAGATGCAGCTGCATGAGCAGGGACCTCACCAGGTTGCTCGAGCTAGTTTTGTTTTTACTGAGCCGTCTGCGGTGATCACCTGGATCTGGTGCGACTGCATCCATGCCACGGGGTATTTGCTGGCTCTCCAAATGGAAATGTTAAGTGAGGATGGATTTTAAAAAGATTTACAGCGTAAGATCAACTCCTAACTAAGCTGCCTGTATCCAGCCTTCAAGGGTGCAGTGGAAATCCACACAGTCAGAGAAAGAACCTGTAATTTAAGGTGAAGTCCAAGAGCTTGACAGCTGTTTTCCTTCTGGCCCTAGATTGCTCCATGCAGTTACCTCTCATGAACAGCGGACAAAGACAGCAAAGGCAGGAATCAGAGGTAGAAACCCAGTTACTGCTCACAAATGCAACCTAACTGCGCAGCCCCGAGGAGCTTAAGCCTTGCATTAATCCGACACCCTTCCCGGAGCCTTTCCTGCTAGTCCGTGCCCGTGCCCTTCCCTTGTCCCTGCGCGAGGCCTGGCGCTTCCTCAGCCACCGCTTGGCCGGCAGCAGCTCCGGGCAGGTTGCTCACACCGGCTTTACCGGACGTGGCCATTCCCGGCGCACTGATAACGGTGTTTTCCTAATGAATGACTTACATTCGCTGTTTTCATAGTGAATCACTTACATTTCCGAGCCCGTAACGCAGTGCCAGACCGAGCTGTTCACATCTGTTCATTTGAGATAATCAAATATTTAGCAATCCTGCTCCAGCAAACAACGCATTGGGCCACATCTTACAGCGCGGGGCTCCTTGCTCTGCTAGCAGACACCGAGGGTGGAAACTCCACAGGAGGAAGCACCGTGGATCACTCATGAATCCCAAGGGAGGACAGACCCATGGTCCTTTACCCTTGAATACCAGAAGAGTAAAATAACTATTTTATTAGGTGGGACTAATCCTCCATGAACATTTTAATGGTTTCCTGTACAATCGGAATGAATGAGCTGGTGCTTTTTTTGCTGTTAAACATTCACTAGCTTGAATTAAATAGTTAACATGCTACCTATAATTTTCCTAGGACTGCATTTCCTAGTACAGGTCACTGTTGCYGGATTGAAGCTACCTCTTTGGGACACCTGAATGTCTTCTGTGTTTTCTTTTCAGTGCAGAATCTGTTGTTACAAGAAACAAATTAATAATTTAATAGCAGAACTTAGCATCTTCACCCTGCCTGCCGATTAGGATAGTGGGTTTTTTTCCTCAAATGCATGAACTATCGGGAACTCTTTGTCATAACCATTTGGRAAATGCTTCCCCATTCACAGGATTCTCGAGCACCTCATCGTGAGCACTAGAAACAGGAGGTGGCGGTCAATGAGGCCGTGTGCGAGGGCTGGCGGCTCCTGGCAGGGCGAGGAGCTGGGAGCTGGGAGGGCCAGCGCCGCCCTGGATGCGGTTAATGCTGTAATGGAATATTTATGAGGCACCAAGTCCATAATCCAAGTGAGAAACATGCTGGATGAAACCTTGAAAACACATAGGTTTTAGCAGAAGTAATTTTACAGATGAACTAACAAATCTTTAAATGAAGCGGATCTGATGCTGAAATGTCAGGCTCGTATAGCGAAGCACGCGTCTGTTATGAGGAGATAATTTTATCTGATCTGCTTTTGATTTGGTACAGGAGATAGCACCAAATAGTGCTGGGAACAGTGCACCCTTGGAAGCTGCAACTGTGCAAGGAGGAAAAGGCGAGTAGTATGTTTGATCCTCAGTCCAAAAGGAAGGAAAAAAGGAAGAAAAAAGGCCAGGGAAGAAGCGAGAGAGGATTTCCAATCAGTTGTAAAACTTCTTTTAAAGCGGAGATGAATCACCATCTGAATCAAAGCCTGCCCCTGTCTGTACACGTTTATAGTAAACAGTGTCCCATGTGGCGTTCACTCTTTCAAGCAAGACCAGCTGGAAATGAAGGGCTTTAAATAGAGCTTTGCAGCTCTTCTCCCTTTCATCCAAGACTTCAAAGCACTTTGTAAATATGATGGAATAAGAACCTCCTTGGCGTTCCTCAGAGACCCGCACACGGATATAGTGCCTTGAACAGCAGATAAACTCCTAGTGGCTTCCTGGGACAGCGCAGGAAATGGAGCAGCGAGCCAAGGAGGGCTCTGCATGCCCTGGTGCTCCCTAGGGACGTGCAGAGCTGCTGCTTCTTTGCATTGGCTTTGTAAAATACCGGGAGGAAACTAGGCCCTTGAGCGCACCTTGGGCACCCTGTTTCTGGTGGGAAATGTGACCAAAAGCATCTGTGTGACCCCTCTTCTTGCCTGAAGCCTCATGGCAAGGGCGGCTGTCGCTGGGGACCCATTTGCTTGGCTAGGCACAGAGCTGTACAGCCATGTCCACCCCTTGCACTTGACAGCAGTGCCATCGCGGATGGCATTTCATAGCACAGGGGAGCCATCTAATTGCACACGTAACTCTGGGGAAAATAACTGCCTCACTGCTCTCCTTTCTTGCCTCCCTTCTGAGCTCGGAAGTATGTTCACCGAGCCATGAGGAGGGAGGCCAGGAGCTAGCGCACAGCTGGAGCACAGCTCCGTGTGGGACACGGAGCAGCCGCACAATCGCCATTTCCTTCCACCGAGCAGCCCCGGCGCGCGCACATGGCCTCGGACAGCGGCTGCTCCGGCAGCGGCTGCTCCAAGCGCCGCGCACCCCCGCGCCAAGCGCGGCCGTTGGCGAGGGGGGCGGGGCCGCTGCGCGGGCGTTGGCGGGGGGGCGGAGCATCAGCACGGCCGTTGGCGAGGGGGGCGGGGCCGCAGCGCGACCGTTGGCGAAGGGGGTGGGGCCTCAGCGCGGCCGTTGGCGAAGGAAGCAGGGCCCGGTGTGGCCGTTGGCGAAGGGGGCGTGGCCTCGACACGGCCGTGGGCAAAGGGAGGCGTGGTCTCGGGARATGTGGGCGGGGTTTGATTTTCCTCTGTGGGCGGGGTTTCTTCGGAGGCGGAGCCTCCGCGCGAGGACGGGGATAGCGGCGGCGGCGGGGCGTGCCCGGAAGTTCCGGGTCGGAGGGAGCAGGAAGTCGGGACGTGGCCGCCGCAGCGGAGCGGGAGGGCGGCCATGGCGGCGGCGGCGCTGGGCTCGGAGCGGCTCGAGGTGGCGCTGGACGCGCTGGCGCTCGGCCCCGGCGCCGAGGAGCGGCCGGGGGACCCCGCGGCGCCGGCGGGGCGGAGTCGAGCGGGGCCCGGGGCGGCGCGCGAGGCGGAGGCCGGCGCGGCGGCGCTGAGCCCCGAGCGGCGCTGGGGCTTCGCGCTCGAGGAGCTCTACGGGCTGGCGCTGCGCTTCTTCAAAGGTGAGGCGGCCGGGAGGAACGGGGAGCGAGGGGGAGAGGAGGAAAACGGGGCGATGCTCGCGGGGCCTCCCTGCCCGCGGGCCTCCCCGGGAGCTGTCAGCTCAGCCGGGGCCCTGCGGGAGCAAAGCCCCGGTGTCCGCCGGCACTGGGTGCAGGTGCTGCAGAAAGAGCCATGGACGGCGGAACCTGCGCGCTGTGAGTGAGTCTACCTGTTACTGCTCGWGTGCCTCCTGCCTCTCGTCCCTCGGTGAGAATCGTGCTCTGCATTCCTTCCCTTTTGCGTGGTGGGAGCTCAGTGAAGTTGCTACCTGTCCCTAGGCTCCAGTTCATGTTTGTATTGCCTCAGCCGTCTCGGTAGTCTTCCCTTTATTGAAAGCTCAATTTCAAGGTGCTTCGCTTTATTGCTGTTTCCTTGAGTCATCAGCAGTTTCTTTTAATTCAGTTTCTTGTAATAGTATTTTCCATTTGGTATCATGTCAGGCTTTCCAAGTGCCTCCAGCCCCATGGCTAGGTGCGGTAAAAAATCTCCTGGAGTCGTTCGTTTCACTCGCAGGTTTTGTCGAGCGCGATAAAACGTGCATCTTTATTTATAGACGTGGCAGCGAGTTACGGCAGTCTCCTGCTTTGGGAGCTCGTGCTATATCTGGATGGCTCTGAGAAGAGCCGGTCTCCCTTCCAAAGGGTTTTGATGCATCTGCTGTCAAAACAACTGCAGGAGTGGGCACGCTTGTTGTGCTGAGGAACAAACACGAATCCCTCTCTTACCTCAGGGAGCAACACTTCAGGGATCASAAAGTTGAGCAGGTAAATGCAGAAACAAATATCTGATTCTGATACTTTTTTCAAAGTCCGTATCAATTCAAAGTTAGAAAATCTTTTAAAAACTTAAATCATGTAGTTGTAAGAAGTGCTTTAAGACCCATGTGCCTGGCGTGAAGCACGTGATTGAGGGCAGCGCTTGTTTGGGGAAATGATGATATCTAGATTAGCTGTGGTTGTGCGCATGGAAAGAACTGGGGTGTGATAGTGAAGACCTCAAAGGAGGAGCGGTGATAGCTAGTGAAGCAGCTTCCTTTAGGCCTCTGTGGGAAGAGAGAGGTTCCTGGATGTGGTTGCTCATGTACCTTCCTCCTCCTGAGAGCACCTTAGGCTTGCTTGTTGCAGTGGCTGCCGGCGCTTCCCTGTGGTGGCCAATTGCAGCGGGACGGGTCCGTGAGCACCGCGGTGAGACCCGAGCSGGGGGTTAAAGCGGCTCAAGCTGCGTGATTCTGCCTCCGGTAGAGGTTTCACTCYGGGACAGTTCACCCACCAGGCCTCAGGCTGCCCAGGCCATGTGCTGGGGTCCCCCGTGTCTGTAATGGCTTTGGGAGGAGGCTTTTCAGAACCACAGAGGCAGAAATAAGAGATGGTTAATACTATCTTACAATACCCTCTTTTTTTTTCCTACCACTCTGCCTAGCCTGTTTCAGAATGAGTAGTCTTCTGGCTTCCATTTAACAAACCCTCTTGCATTGTGTTAATCAGGCCTGCAGGAGGAAAGCCCTGCCGACCTAGGGACGCTGCTGCTGAAGTGGGGAGGTTTCCCGTCACAKAGTTGTCTGTGGCTGTTTGTGCCCCGGGGCTGCTGCCGGGGTGGAGGTGCCTCGGCTGCAGCTCCTGCGCTCGCYGGCCTCGCGTGAGCCGCCTCGGCGAAGGGAACGTGCTGGAGCTCCCTCCTCGAGCTGTGCCCTGCAGCGCAACGGGGTGACCGGTGTARCGGTCCCAGCAAATCTCTGCAAGAGGCAGCTTGGTTTTATGGTTTGCTTGGAATATATTTTTTTACCCCATCTTTGATAGTCAGCGAGTTTGCTCGGGGACTCTTGTATTGCTGCACATTGTGCTACAGTTCTTGCAGAGGAGAAAAAATCCTGAAGTTGCAGAGAGGTACTGATGCCTTGTGTGGCACACTTTTCTTCAGCGTGTTTGTTAAACTCCTTTGAGTCTAAGCTTGTGGGCTTGTGCCAGTTCCTTGTAGGGTGTCACGTCCTGGAGAGCTGCACCGCTGCCTGCTTTCCAGCACTAGGTTATTGGAGCAGCCTCATCTCGGCTGTGTCTGTGTGCAGCCTCAAGCAGGAGCGAGCATCGAGCCTTCTGTAACTATCCACATGGCAAGTAGGGCTGGCTGTGCTTTAAGTGCTGTTTGTCTCGAGTGTTTCCTAGAATCACTCTCAGCRGATCCCTTGTTGGTACCCAGTGGCAACTGCCAAGGAGAGCTGTGCTTTGAACGGGGAGTATTGGGTGTGCAGGGACCYTCACCTGAGCTGTGACCAGGCGGGCACTTCCACAGCACGTGGCAGCGCTCTGAGCACGCAGCGAGCGGGGGGCAGCCGGTTCCCTGCACCTTGGTAACCTGCTCGTGTCGTCAGTGGGAACAGACAGCTGCTGGAGATGCCCAAAGCAGCAGGGCTGCCTCCCTGCAGCTTAAGGGTAGTGCTTGGGATTTCAGAAACTAAAGGGTAGTGCTTGGGATTTCAGAAACTGCCACCTCCAGTGAATGGTGCCTTGAAGGAGTGTCTGAAAGGAGATATCCCAGGGGTTTGCAGGAAAGGCGAGCTGCTCCTTGGAGGGAAGCCTGCTCGCTGAGGAGCCCTGTGGCACAGGGAGTGCTGTGGAGTTGCTGGACCATTGCTTTGTGCATCCTCTAGATCACCCTAATTTGTTCCTTAAAGCTGTTTCACGTTCTTCAGCTTCCTTTCAGCTGTGCTTTAAAATCAAATCAGCTATCCAGGTTGCTAGATGCTTGAAAGGTGCATTCATGGATACCTCATAAATTCAGCACTTCTACTCGCTTAGGCTTGCTSATGTTGGCTCTGGGCATCATTAGCTCTGCAGATGGCTTCAGCTGCCCTAGTTCACATTAACGGCAGCATTTCCACGTCTTTGGGGTAATTATACAGCACAGTTCATTCTGAAGAATTCAACTGAAAATAGCTAGTATACAACTTCTCCCTTGACTGCCTCTAAATACTTTGCTGAGAGCTTCCTTCCAATCTGCATTATGCACAAGTCACTGGATGTCTGCCTCTCTTCTTTTTCTTATCTGTTTTCTTCCTGTTTGTTTTGCTCCTTCTTTCCTCTTTCCTTTGGCTGTGATTCTTTGCAAATTCAGATTTTTGGTTTCCTTTGGTGTTTAGGGCTTGAGATCTGACTTTTGTTCAAAGGAAACCTGCAGACCTGCTGCTTTYAGCTGCTGAGGGAAACATTTTTTTCTCCTTAAACTGTTTTCAGAAATGGGTCCAAACCCTTAGTTATTAGGTGGTGCAGGCAGCTGCCTAGTGCAGCAAACGGCTGTACCATACAGCGTAAACTATACTGTGGTGACCCTCCTGAAGGGTGCTTCACGTGGAGAYCTAGCAAAATATTGGCGTAGCACAAGGGTTGGTTGAGTTGTTCTTGAGCACCCCTCTCCAGAATGCTAAGCATAAGTGTTTGTGCTATTTGCTGGGTGCCAGGCATTCCCCTTAACCCCAATAAACGTGTTCTGGGTTAAATGGGAGTGTGAAGAAACAGGGGAAAAGCCAGAGGAATATTTAGGGGGACTGGAAGCAGCAGACCTGAGACATGGGCACAGAGCTTTCCAAGTTGTCTTGACTGCAGGAAGTGCTGTATCCTTGAGGATGGGCTTGCAGTGCCTGGGATTAGCATCTCTCAGGGCTCACGGATGATTGAGAGTGGAGGGGATGCCTGGGGATCACCTAGTCCAACCTGCCCCTGCCCAAAGCAGGCTCAGCTCAAGCGGGTTGCTCTAGTGGGTTTAATTTCAACCCCCTCCAGGCATGGAGACTCCACAGTCCATACAACTTTTTTTTTCCAATATAACCTCACAGGAAGAAAAAGAAAAGCTCTTTTGTAAGTAATTTGAATTTCTTGTGTTTCTGCTTATCCTCAATGTCTCTTATTCTTTCCCTGGATATTACCAAGAAGAGTCTGTATGTGTCCTTATATCCCTCTTCCCCATCAGGGATTTTTAGAAGAAGAATTTATTGGGGATGAAGGGCTCTTGCAGCAGGAGTAGATGTTGGTTCTGTGCTCCTGTGACACTAGGAAAAGAGTAAATACCTGGGATTGTGAAGAAGAGTGAAGTAGCTAAGAGAAGAATAAGTGTTTACCTGCCAAATTCCCTGATTCTGGCTGCATACCACCTAGCATGCATGTAGTGAGTGACTYCTTGTGAGGATTTAACTGATTAACTGCAGTAATGCACTCAGTTTATTCTGTCAGAGTTTGTTCTGTCAGAAGTGGGCTCCTTGCTGTGACCTGCAGGCACTTTCCCTCTGAGCTCCTGTCTGATTCCCAATTTCAGAAATATTTGGTCTGCATTTCTCAGTAAGCCACAGTAGACGTTTTGTTTCTTTTCCCCATTAATAATTCTGGCACCCTTCAGCTGAAAAAAGCTGTAGGCTGTGAAGTTTCCACGCGGGAGTTGGAGTATGAATTGGACCGTTCAGTTTGGGTCTCACAACAACTTGCTCTGAAGTGACCTTAGCTGGAGACGCGCGCGGCTCTGCCCCGATTCACGGCTGTGTGCAGGGTGCTGCGAGGGCAGTCACACGAACACAGGTTGTTTCTCTACAGTAAGAGCTTCCTCATTTCAGCCCTTCCAAAAAGAGGGGGTGTTATAAGCTCTTGTTTGGTTTCCTCTTCAAGAGAAAAAGGTGGTTTTGTTTTTTTTTTTTTAAATAAACACTGCAATTAGTGACGCCTCTTTCTTTGGTTTGTTTTGATGGTTTGGTGAGTGTGCTGAGGTAAGTCCTAGTTGACTAATGCATTGGCTAATGCATTTAAAATTGTGTATGAAAGTCTTGCCTTGCCAATAAATCTCCTGGTGTGACCTAACCAGGACTGCTCTAGGAGGCTGTGCTGCGGAGCCGCTGCAACTTGGATATGTCTTYGCTTTTTAGTCTGCCTGTGTCTAAGGGCTGAAGCTCTCTTTGCAGAAGAGCATTGGTACAGATTGAGTCACCTTATCACGAGAGATTATTCCAGCTGCCTTGGCAAAATGCAGTAGTCAAATTCCTGCAAGGAGAATTTCACTTTGATTCTGTGTTCTTTCTTGCCTTTAACTTGCTATTTATGCAGTTGCCTGATGTGAAGAGCATCATGCAACGTGAGGAAAGCAATCTGAATGTTACCATATCTGTCTTCACAGGAAATCCTTCCCACTCATCTTGAAATAAGCTTGGCAGACACATTTGAGTTCAAGTTCAGAAGCTTTTTAAATATTTCAGAGGTATAGATTTGTATGGTACGATGTTCATCTAATTGTCATAAATATTTATGCCATATATCCCACTATCTGTTGGTTCTAGGTGGYACGAACAAAACACTTTAAGCCTCAGCAGTCCAAGTTAGCTCTGTTTCTTCTGGACAAATCTCTATTTGAATAAAATTGAAATTGTCTAACCTTTTGTAACTTGTATCTCTTTTGATTATGTTTTTACAGAGGGGATCATAGCAGTTATACAGAGCACTTGCTGTGCCCTTAATCACAAGAGTGAAATTTTCTTTTTTTCCCCTCTACAGAAAAGGATGGCAAAGCCTTTCATCCAACATATGAAGAAAAACTCAAACTTGTGGCACTGCACAAGCAGGTCCTCTTGGGACCTTACAATCCCGACACTTGCCCTGAAGTTGGATTCTTTGATGTGCTGGGGAATGATAGAAGGTAAAAACAAGACTGTTGCACTCGTAGATCTTCACTCGTTCTTGGGCAAATGTTCTCCAGAACCGAGTGGTACTAACATGGATATGGGGACTGCCTCAGTAGGTATATGGTAGTGGAAAGTGAGAAGAGCCTCTTCCAATATGTCTTAATCTTGAGCCACASTCAAGTAATGGAACTGGCAGAGGAACATTTGGGTTGTAACTTAGCTGAAGCACATTAGGAAAAGCTGCTGTGATGACTCTCTGGTCTCTCAAGGCGGTTGAAGACTTAATTAGGCCTGCATTAAAGCACAAGCCCGTGTTTCCTGCTTCTAACTCTGCTTTGTGCTGGAGTTACTGCTGGCAAAAGGCTTGGYCTGCTGCAGAAGTGTTTGCCACGGCCTCTCTATAAGTACCAAGGGTGGCTTTGGAAGTCAAATTTCCGCTGGAAACAGACCCTGAGAAATTGTGGCAAAATGAGGGCAGCCTCAGACTTATCTCCTGTATTCCGTACAGTTAGATTTTTTTTTTTCCCCCCTGTGTTTCATGATGCTTTTTTCTGCTGGTAAAAGCAATGTGCAGCACAGCATAAGCATCTTAGAGCTAGACTGTATGCACTTTTTTTTCCAAAGTGGACTTAGCTAGTGGACTGAAGTCCACTTTCTAAAGTGGATCACCTCAGAAGACCAGACTGGTTGTATTACCTGAGCACTGTAATCAGTGAGCAAACCTGGAAAAAAACGTGTGAGAAATTATGTACATTTTGTATGGACTAGAGTGAAAGAGGGACGAAGAATATTTCAAGTTCATTTGCCAGTTCATTTATATTTTGGAAGCTTTAGAAAGCAGCGTAGCACTAAGTAGGGCTCATGATGGTTTGTATTGGATGTTGTGTAAACATTCAGTTATGTCTGTCTGAAACTCCTTCTGGTGCAGGCAGGAGAGAGCAACAAGACTTACAAATTTAAAGTCTCGCTTCAAATGGGCAAGAGTTATTGGTCGTTGGTTGAAATAGCTTATGATGCAGGTGGGTCTCTGGACTTGACTTAAGCTCTCCCTGCCTCCTCCTCCTGGACTGGGAGTTTGCTACTGGCTTGAAGAGAATGGAGTCCTTTCTCAGCTGATGAAGTCTGTGATTTCTTTCTTCCCCTCYTAGGAAGGAATGGGCTGCTCTTGGAAACATGTCAAAGCAAGAAGCCATGACAGAGTTTGTTAAGCTCCTAAATAGGTGCTGCCACTTGTTCTCTACGTACGTCACTTCCCATAAGATAGAGAAAGAAGAACAAGAAAAGAAAAGGTAATCTTGAATTTCTTGGTGTAGGAGATTGTGCTGCGTGTGTAACTCCTGACCTGCAGGCAGTGCCGTGGTCAGCTCAGGTTGAAGCCTAAGAGATGAGAGATGCTTTGAGTTCAGATGGCCGTGGTACCCTCTGCACTGTCTAAGCCTTCTTGTCTGTAATGAGTGCTTCTGAAGTGAAGACATACCTGGAACATCTGAAAGGAACTTTATTCATTTTAATGGTACAGTAGTTTGTTCCTGAACATACACTTCACCCAGTTTTCCACATTATTATCAATTGACTAAATAGCCACATGAAATCACCACATTTTTAAAACTTTTATTTTTTTTTGGGTTAGACATTTGACAAAGGCTGTCTTGTACCATGTTTTGGCTATTATTAAATGGTACTTGTAGCTAATGTCTGCATTTTAAAACCTGGCAGAACTTAAGGTTTCAAGACTCATTATTATTATCCTATGTTGTCTGCTATGGTGATTATAAGTAATAAGTTAGAATGAACATTGTTATAATACAAAAATTATGCTTGCATTTGCTCAGTGCAGTAAAACCCAACAGTGATAGATTTTCTTGTGTGCAAAGTTGAAGTGGAAGGAGATGATGTGAAACAGCCTTACTGGGCAGGTTACAGCCTGCCTGGAAATAGCTCATGCTAGGCCTGTAGGAATGCTGAAATAGCTTATTGGGTGCATTTTGCAGAAGAGAAGAGGAAGAACGAAGGCGGCGTGAAGAGGAGGAGCGGGAGCGTTTACAAAAGGAGGAGGAAAAACGTAGGCGGGAGGAAGAGGAGCGACTGAGACGGGAAGAAGAAGAAAGGAGGAGGATAGAGGAGGAACGGTTTCGGATGGAACAACAGAAGTGAGTAGCTCAAATAAGACATCAAAGAAAATAATTGTCTTGAATTTGAGGCAGTTGTCTGCCACTTTTTTTGGACACAAAGCTGTAGTTCCTTTTTTTCCATGCTAGGGCTGATGYTTTTTTCTAACTCGGGAGCCTTAACATAGTCTCCTTCAAGGTGATCCTGCCCCCTCTGAGAAAATGTGAAGTGTCTACAGATCTTATTTGTGCACCAGTGGTCACTGGCTCTTAGCGCTTCTCTAAAAGGAGCTCAGAATTTACTTTCAGATGTGCTCGAGCTCACTCTCTAGCCCCTGTCAATCTAGTTAGTTAGAATGGATAGCTCTGGTTCTGTTCTGTTGTCCTCACACACATCCACAGGCTCAAAACATGGATCTGGAATTGCACGCTTGGCATCTATTGCCCTCCTAAACACTCCTTACCTGTAGGTAACATCACAGTAAAACTGTCTTTCCAGGAAAGATCCAGTGTTTGCTGTGTGGTGATTTTTGGAGAGGGAGCAAATAACTGATCTGCAAGCCTTGCTGCTTTGTTGTTATTTAACATGGTGAAGGCCAGAGGAATGTGAAATAGCAACATAAATGAAGAGGCAGTATGACCACAGCTGTGCAGTGTTAAGCAATAGGAGAATGGGGTATGCCTTGAAATAATGAGAGTTGTTTTACAATGTGAAAGCAGTCTCATAAGTGGCTATGGGAGGTTACAGAGGTAAGGAATTTGGGCAGAAAAGGGACTTGGGTGTACGTATAAAGCCAYGTGTCTTCAGAGTGGTCACAGTTGCTGGAGTGGTTGCATCTAACCAGGTAGCCTAAAAATGGTGCTTGCTAGAGGATGGGTTTTGGGGCAGGAAGAAGTTTAACCGGCTTGTGCAAGAACGGCACTGAGGCCCTCTGAGGCCGAGGGATGTCGGCAGCAGCCCGGGCTGCCCGTAACCGCCGGCGCGGTGTCGCCCGCGCAGGCAGCAGATCATGGCCGCGCTGAACTCGCAGACCGCCGTCCAGTTCCAGCAGTACGCGGCCCAGCAGTACCCGGGCAACTACGAGCAGCAGCAGCTCCTCATCCGGCAGCTCCAGGAGCAGCACTACCAGCAGTACATGCAGCAGCTGTATCAAGTGCAGCTGGCGCAGCAGCAGGTAGGACGGACACCTGGGGGACTTTGTTCGTGCTGGGTGCCCCCAGGCCGACTTTGGGAGATATTAACTTGTCTGTTCCTGCCCCCCTTGAAAAGATTAACTGTTACAAGGAGAGGCAAAAAGTGTGACTAATGACTAAATGCTCAAATCCCTTTATTAATCTCTGCCAGTAGATTTCTGAAGCATATGTTAATCCAGAGTACTCTAAGTAGCATTTACTAATAACTATTTGTTAAAGTTCTTAGAGACCAAATGCTGAGCTCGGTGCTCTGGCATCTGTGTGCAGGTACCAGTGCAYTGAGCCCAGGCAGAAGCCAGCCTCTTCAGGCAGCTCTCCCTGCACATATCTCCTGTCAAAGCACAGCCTTTGGGCAGCAGTGTGTGCCTTGGGACAGGAGGATAAATGTTTATACCAGAAGCAACAGGTGACAGCGCTTCTGTGCAGTGATTTTGTGTCTGGGCTTGAAAGTTTACTGCTGCTTTGTTCAGGAGGGTCTTGCATCTCCGAATGTGCTCTGTTCAGAGCTCAAACTACTTTAAAGCTCAAAGATACCCTTATAAGTGTCTTCAACAGATGGTAAAACAAGCTTCATGTCTAGCATTTGACCTCTGTGCAGAGGACCTGATTCTGAGATGGCCTCTGCCCATCTGAGATGTACTGCYCTCCACTGAAGGCTTAAAATTCAGGCACGTTCAGGGTCTGCTAGTGCTGTTCTGTCCTGGTTCCTTCTGGATCGAGTTTTGATATGATTGATTTTAGAAAACTATTCCATRTAGCCCTTCCAGATAAGTTCTCACCCTTTCAAATTTAGTCCTGGAACCTTCTGTAGTGAAGGTAGGTCTGGACAGCATTTGTATAGTTGGGCAGGTTTGAAATGTTGCTAACTATATTGTCTTACAATATCTGCATTCATTAAACAAAACAATATGCTTATTAGACTGTTCTTTAAAGAACAGTACTATCAGTTACACCTTCTGCCCTATCCCTGCAAAAAATATATCAGTAATCTCCTCTTACTGATAAATAAGGGAAAAACAAGCCTTGAAGCTAAAGGGATGAGGTATCCTGCCTACATCCAAAGGAATGGGTGTCACCCAGGATCAGACTATACCAGGTATGTCCCATCCTCTGCAGAGGGACAGCATGATGAGTGCTGTCTAAAGAGTTTCCATGTGCATAAGTCTTCTTTTCATGGATCACCCTTGTGCTTTAATAATCCTTTCTCCAGCTTCCTTGCAGTCCTTCTGGCTCTTAAGTTGCCTGCATTCAAATTAAATGACCACCCTGCCTGGATTCTGTGTTGAGAGCCCTTTTGAGCAAGTTAACCCACCAATTGGCAAAATACTTAAGGTCTCAAGTATTGCCCTTTTTTAAGCTGGATGATCCCAAGCCAGAACACTTTCAACCCCCATGTGAAAAACAGCAAACAAATCACTGCTCTTATTCTTAAAATAAGTGCCATAGGAGATGCCAAAATGGCCTGCTCTCGTAATGAAGTGTAACAGCTTACTGTGCGTGCTCTAGYTAACTTTCGAGTTGAGTCTTTCAGYTCAGGCTGTATCCAGCAGGCTGGAACAGAGCGATTAGATTCCTGTGATACTGAGCACATGTTACCATGTAGAATTACATGTGCTGCTCCTGCTTTCTCCTATCAGTCCCCCTCATGGGGTGGAGGGGAGACTTTTAAAAATTGCCATTGTACCTTTTGCTAGCTAGATGTCTCAGGACTGCCGTGTTTACCTGATTTATTTTCTCTCCTYTTAGGCAGCCTTACAAAAGCAGCAGGAGGCGGTAGTGGCAGCAGGGACACCTCCCAGTACAGCATCCATGGTGAATGCACCTGCCCCAGGGGACATCCCATCTATTAATGGGCAGGCCAGTGCCCATACAGACAGCTCTGAAAAAGAGCTGGACCCAGAGGCTTTGGAAGAAGCGTTAGAGAATGGACCAAAAGGTAGGATGAACTAGATCCTGTAGTAAATAATCTCAAATGTCTTTTCCTTTTTTTTTAAGGAGACAGATGATATATGTGATCATTRTAGCTCTTGGCTTTGGTGGGCTAATGTGAGAGCCTAAGCTTGGTTTCTGGGTCTGGTTTCTCTAGTGGCAAAATATATTGCACAGATATAAAATCAAGCTGTTGTGGAGAAGAAGGATGAAGCAGTGAAAGCATTTTGAGCGAAAATGCTCATAGATAGGGATGGGATAGGGATCCCATAGATAGGCTCTATTGCATTTATACATTTTGTGTAATGTGGCCCCAGTGCCACTAGCAGACATCTCTTGAGTCAGTTTTGCATGAGCACTGTCAGTGTAAATGTGGTGATGGGTGAACTGGTGGGGTTTCAGTGTGTGCTGGTGTATCCAAACCTGCACTGCTCTCCAAACAAGTCTGAGCCCTGTCAAAGGTTCTTTTCTTCCTTAGGAAATGATAACAGTGTAGAAGCAGCTCTAGCACACTGAGAAGTGAGCTAGAAGCACACATCAGCTTACAGCATCAACAGCCTTGAGACAAACACTTAACTGGAATATTTTTCCCTTCCCTCTAGATTCGGTTCCAGTGATAGCTGCTCCATCAATGTGGACACGACCCCAGATAAAAGACTTCAAGGAGAAAATCCGACAGGATGCAGACTCTGTGATCACAGTGGGCCGAGGAGAAGTGGTTACAGTTAGAGTACCCACCCACGAAGAGGGGTCCTACCTCTTTTGGGAGTTTGCTACAGACAATTATGACATTGGTTTCGGGGTGTATTTTGAATGGACAGACTCCCCTAACACTGCAGTCAGTGTGCATGTCAGTGAATCCAGTGATGATGAGGATGAAGAGGAAGGTAAAATGCTCATTTATGTGAATATTTCAGTCAAGCTGTGGAGTGGCTTAATGAAAACCCAGATGCCTGGGTGCTTGGCATCTCTGAAAAGCGGCCCAGATGTGGGGAGAGAAGGAAGGTTGTTTCAGTATCAAACAGTGAAATTCAGCATAAAGCAGTGTCTGCACTGAAGCAGAGGCAAACCTGCTTTTCATCAAGCGCAGTTTTGCAAGGGCAGATGGATAGATTGCTCCCTTAGAAGGGTGGGAGTGTGCTTCCTTTGGGCARCAGTGGAGTGAAATGCAGGACCTCRTGCTTATTGCTGCTCCTGGCTTTTGACTGCCTTACCTCGTGTCTCCAACACCTTCCTTCCTACTCTCCCCCAAGTCTGACTTTTAAACTAACAAAGTCGACTACAGGTCAGGACCCTTAAGATCTGACTTTCACTTGTAAAGTATGTGCCTCTGTTTAACTCTTCTTTTTTTCTCTTCCCCCTTGCAGAAAATGCCAGCAGTGAAGAAAAAGCCAAAAAGAATGCCAACAAGCCTCAGCTAGATGAAATTGTGCCTGTGTACAGACGAGACTGTCACGAGGAAGTGTACGCTGGCAGCCACCAGTACCCAGGGAGAGGAGTTTATCTCCTTAAATTTGACAACTCCTACTCTCTATGGAGGTCAAAAACAGTTTACTACAGAGTTTATTACACTAGATAAAGATGTGGCTCTGCCTCATGCTGGGCTGTGCAGAAGATGTCATTTTATTTGGGATTTTCTTCAAGCATAACGGATCCTCTTGAGTCTGTGTTTTATCCTGTCTGTATCTGTATGGTTTGTGTGAACTTTAACAAGTAGACACTGGGATCTTCCTGCTCCATGACACTAATGCATATTGCATTGGGCTTAACACAGGATCTCCCTAGGCTCTTTGGGCGCCGAGTTAACCCGTGGCAGTCACTGGCTCCGGTGCTGAAGTCACACTAGTTGCATCTGCAAAGCCTCGTGTACATGGGGAGGGCATTGCTGGTTCACTGGCTGGGTGACCTGGTGTTTCCACGTCTGGATGCTTTCAGTAACTTGTTAACAGTTAATTTAAAGGTCCCCTCAATAACTGGTAGATTTGGATGCAGTTTGCTGTGTAGCAAGTTTCTCTTAACTGTAATTGAATGTCAGAATTTTTACACCATTAAAACTTGAACTTTAAGTTGATGCGGTTTAGAAACAAGTTGTGTCGCTTCTGTCCTCACTGAAGAAAAGCATTGAAGTTCAGTTCCCTGAGCCAGTGTAGTGACTGCGATGAGGAGGAACAGAGCCCCGAAAGTATGGTGAATAACCTTATTTTTTGAAGACATAAACTGAACAACGGTTTCAAGTATATGTAACAAGTAGAACCTTAATCACTCTGCCCTGCTGCTAACCATAGAATCAAAATATATATGTGTGTATATATATCTTTTTTGGAAGGGATTGAATTTGAACTAGGGCACAATATTTTTAATGGGGTGAACTTTAAAATGGAAATCAGTTTTCTGCACAACTTTCTGGTGTGTCTGTTTTTTGTAAACCTGACTGAACACATTGTGCACCTGAATAGTAAGTCACTTTGGTCAAGTGTAGGAATTAATGTTGCATTAGTGATGGGAATAATCGCTGCCAGTGCATTTTAGTCTGCCCTGGTGGTTCTGCCTCAGTCCCCACCTTTGGGCAGAGACACAGTTAATAACGCAGCTCTAACTCACAGTTTTGTAGGGATGGATGGGGCACCTTGGTGTATTTTGTGTAATGGCAAAATCCGCGTGGTTGCCTGGCTCGTAGGCGCAGGAACAACCCCCTGTTCTCGCCCTGCACCCCAGGGCGCACAGTGCAGCGATGAGCTGTGCAAGGGCTCTGCTGCCCCCCGTTCCCCAGGGAGTGGGTCACTAGGGGTCTGTGTGGGGACTCTGGCAGTTGTATTTCCCTTGATTAGGTGCAGGTGCAGAGCGCTGGCCCTTGCCCTTGGGGTCCTGGGCTTGTGCATCCACGATACTTCCCTGTCCTCTGATCCAGCGGATCAGCCGTGGCTGTAGAAAGTACCTTGCTTTTAAAGAAAGCTGTATTTAATGTAAAAAAAAAAAAAAAAAACCACCCTTTTAAGAAGGCAGGCACTAATATATTTCTTCCAGTCTTCAATTTAGGTTTCTGTCCATATGGCACTGTTACAGCCTTTTCCTCTAAGGATAACTGTTCTCGGGAGTGATGTGTGTTGCTTTCCATGGCAGCAGCTACTGTCACGTGTGGGATGTTAGAACTTCTCCGTTTCACGACWTTTTTTTTTATTGCCGCTGGCTGTTGATTAGTACAGTACAAGTGCGATTTCAAAATACCATGAGATAGTATTTAATCCTAATTAAAATACATTTATCTGTAACACTGTTGGCTTTTCATTAATTTGGAGACCGCGGCAGTGCAGCGCGTGGCTCCCCCCAGTGCTAAGCTTGTGACCTGCTCCCTTGGATGGGGCCTTTTCCCCAGCTTCAGGCGCGGGTCCCTGTCTCCGTGGGGAATCCTTCCCTTGCTCTGGGCATGGAGCCCTTGGGCAGCGTGAGGAGAGAGCGGCTGGCATGGCCCCGTCCTGCGGCTGCTGCTGCCATCCCCTAGGGCAGAATGGGAGCCGAGGGGCCCAGAGCTGCCTCCTGGCCCACAACCACCCTTGGGGCCGCCCTGCACCTTGCTGTGTGCGGGGCACCTTCGGCTGGCTACTCGCGGCATTTGCAGGGAGCCCTGGGGGCCCTCGGAGCCCCGCGCTGGCAGCCCAGGAGCCCCTGCCCTCCACGCTCTCGGCGCCGCCCATGCCCTCCACGCGCTCGGCGCGGCCGGTGCCCTCCACGCGCTCGGCGCGGCCCGTGCCCTCCACGCTCTCGGCGCGGCC